GGTGGAGGCCGCCTGTCCCCCAAGGGGCAGAGCAGGGTGGAGGCCGCCTGTCCCCCAAGGTGCAGAGCACGGTGGAGGCCGCCTGTCCCTCAAGGTGCAGAGCACGGTGGAGGCCGCCTGTCCCCCAAGGGGCAGAGCATGGTGGAGGCCGCCTGTCCCTCAAGGTGCAGAGCGCGGTGGAGGCCGCCTGTCCCCCAAGGTGCAGAGCGCGGTGGAGGCCGGGGACCAGGAGGCCCAGTCCCATTCTTGCAGGACTGCATTCTTCCTTGTGGCAGCCCCACGCCATCTCCCCGTGCGCTGGGTGAGGAAACCGAGGCTCAGAAAGGTTAAGGATTTGCTTAAAAATACATACATGCCTGGTGGTATGACATGTGGATCTGAGCTCTTTCTGATTCCCCTTGCTTCTCCACAGAGGGCTCCAAAAAAACAAACACCAAATCTGTTGTCATGGAGTCAATTCCAACTCATAATAACCCCATAGGACAGAGTAGAGCTGCCCCACGGGGTTTCCAAGGCTGTAATCTTCTTGGAAGCCGACTGCCACACCTTTCTCCTGTGGAGCCAATGGTGGGTTTGAACTGTTGTCCTTTTGGTTAGCAGCCGAGTACTTCAACCGCTGTGCCACCAGGGCTCCCTCCGTGCAGGGTTAGCCATGGTAAATGTTGGAAAGGGAGAATGATCTAGAATGCGTGCTAAAGGCACATCCAGCAGACGCCACTTGAATTACCTGCTCTTTATTTCATTATCTGTTGATTTGATTTGCTTTTGTGACTCTGCCCCTGTGATCACTGATTTGGGACTCAGCAGCCTGACCTAGGTCACAGCTGGCATGGCCCTGGGCTGGGGCAACAGGCGCCAAGCTTCCCCGAAAGAGCCAATGCCTCGAACCCAGGCCAAGGGCCTTGTCACAGCGAATCACGTCCATCCTTCCAGTCCCCAGCCTTAAATAGAGCTGCTCAGATCTGGAGCCAGAGGAAAGGGAAGGGCTGGGTGGGGCGGTTCAGCCCCGGAATGTGGCAAGAATGCAGCTCCCACCAGCCTGTAGGCCTGAGGCCCGGAGGCAGCAGGGGGAAGGAAGCCCCACACCTGGGGCATCAGAGTGACCTGGGCTGGGAGCTGAAGGCAAAGGGCTGGCTGGACTGAAGGGAGCGGGGCAGGCTGGGAGCCCCAGACCTGGCCTCGTCCCCATCCGGCCGGCGCAGGGCAAGGACCGCTCTAGGCTCTCCCACGGTGTGGCGGACGGGCCACACCACTGCCCAGGCAGAGAGCACTAGGTTCCTGTTGGTCCAGTTCCCCCGAAGGCCTGGGCTGGGGAGCTAAGGAGTTAATCAATGCAGAGGGAGCCAGGAGGGGACACCGAGGCCGACTATTAACCAGCTTTATGGCTGGCGCCCCCCAAACCCGGGAGTAGCCCTCCTCTGGCCTGGTCAGGAGCCAGCTGTCTGCAGCGGGCGTGATGACCATCTCCAGCCTCCACAGGGGCGGGTGCAGTGCAGAACCCGTGATGGGCCCTTTCTCCCAGGCTTCTGGCCTCCAGCCCAGTGGGGTGTGTCCAGGAAAGGGGAGCCCTGGGGAAGGCCTGAGCCAACGAGGAGAGCAGCAGAAGGCCCGGGGAGGGGGCGTCAGACGGAGGAGGGCACTCTTGGCGGGAAAGGCATGAGTGGGGAAGAGGAATGGGAGAGCAAACCACACGTGCCTTCACTGTCACTCAGAAGGTTCCCGCAAACACCATACTGCTTTGGTCTCTTGTGTCCTCTGCCCCGACTTCAGCAAGCCTGGGTGGGGAGGCCAAGCGCGCAATGACACCAAGGAGGAGCCTGACCAGAAGCCTGTCCCAGCCCCTCAGTGTCTGTCCCCACGGCCGGGCCAGTCCTGGGTACGGTGAGCAGGTGGAGGGCCCCTGCCGTCGCTGCTCCTGAGCCCCCTCTCCTGTCCTGTCCCCCAGCCATCAGGCAAGAGCTGAGTGGGATCAGCACCACATAACACGGGGTTGTGCCGCTGCCGCCGGCTGAGGACCGAGTCCAGCTGACGACAGGACAGTGAGGAGCCCGACGCTGAGCACACAGCGAGCGGACGTGCTTCGTTTAGAGTCTTGATCTGTGATAAATATTCAAAATGAGGAAAAAGTTCAATTCCTGGATTTTTTAGATTCTACTTGACACAAAACCCCAGGCCTCCTTGTCTTTTTGTATTTTATATTTGCTTATTTAAGTGTACGTTTCGTTCGTTCATAGAGAGGGAGCCCCAGGTGACCCGCTTCATCAGATGGTTTCCAAGTTTTCTCCTAGTGGATGCTCTGTCCACGCCGTGTGCGTCAACCCGACACGCGCAGAGCTGTCCAATACCGTCCTTCCCCAGCGGCCCTGTCGAAGGGTCGTCCCTGCGCGGTGTCTGTGTTCACATGGTAATAAACTGTCCACTGTCCACTCTGAGCACCTCGCCTCTTGGTCTCGCGCCGGCTCCTGTCAGGCATCTGGTTGCCCCTGGCTGGGACAGCAGCATCACGAGGGGGTGCCCACCCCACCGGGTGACGCTGTCAGAGGGGGTGACACCAAAACGACTGTAAAATTTTTGCGTAGTGTTTCAGCAGAAATTATTTTTTTATTAAAGTATCCTTGTAGTTAGAACAACAAGAACGTTTTTCGTAAGCCCAGCTTCCACGTGTCAATATTACAAGGCTAACACTCTATGCTGATTCACTTTCCGAACCTTCTAACGGGCTCCGGTCAGAGCTGTCGTTATTACCCAGTTACAGTGACGCTTCAGATCGCCTGCTTTCGTCCGCACGTGCTACAAGCACACGCTGTTGTTTTCGCTGATGCTGGTTTTTTTATAGTAGATGATTTTGTCAAATTTTCTGATGTATTGTAATTAGTATTTGTGAACCTACATCAGTAACTTTTGAGAATGAAGTAGTAAGGAAAGGAAAACAGGGAGTGACATATGGGAATTAGGATTTACAGGTAACGTTACTACAAGAAATGTTACTAAGGGTTCTCTGTGGGCTGGTACAGGAGAAGGGCCATGGAGGGGTGACACCAACCCTAGTGACGTCGCTGACTGGGGATGCCCCGCCTTGGGGAGGCCAGAGCCTTGGCGCCCAGGAGTGGCAGGTGCAACACAGGGCCTTCAGTGGTGGCGGTGACGGGAGGTGGAGGTGGGGTGGGAGGGGTGGCTCAGGCACCTCGGGCCAGGTGTCCCAGGGCTGGCCTCAGGTCCTACCTTTGGGGAACCACCTGCTGTGGAGACCCCCAGTTGGGGGGACTCTAGGTATAGTCCGAGCAGCGAAGGGACTTGTGCATTCTGACTGAAACTGGTCCGCCATGGGGGCTGGCAGTGAGCCCACCGCGTTAGACGGCTGTGCTGAGGGCCCCCGCAGTGCAGGCACGAGGGCAGCCACGGCTTCCTCCAACACAGACCACCCATCACCCCCAGCCCCCACCTCGTCATTGCCGCCCGCCTGCACAGACCTCACTCCAGCCAGGCTGACCGCTGAGGTCTCCAGCTTGTCTCCCCAGACCATGCAGTTCCCAGAGTCACCAGTGAGGGTCTGACTGTCAGCCTCAGCAGACCTGCCCCAGGAGGTCAACCCCTAACCAGCAGGCAAGCCTTGTGGAGACCTGGAATCCTGGGACCATTCATTCTCCAGGTGTCCTACACAGCCCCCATGGGCACTGAGCAATGTGCCCAGGCCAGGCCCGCCGCCCTATGAGGGCCATGGAGGAGGGAAGGAGGTGCTCGCCTCCTGGGCCCCTGCTTAGCTGACACAGGAGCTACCATCTCTGGCCGGACTTAATCCCACTAAACCCTTCTAACGGCCCTAAAAGATTGTTCGACCCATCAGGTGAGAATGCGGAGGCCCGGGACTCTTGAGTGGCTTGCCCACAGACTCCACGGCCATGCTCCCCTGCCAGCAGCACCCAGCCCCTGTCACACCCTTCCCAGAGCTGTGCTGGGACAGCTGGGAGCCCCCTCTAACCCTGTAGCCCCAGCCTGGCCTGGCCCCCCTTTCCAGATCTGTGGGGAGGCCCAAGATGCCCCTTTGCCCACATCGGAGATAAGAGGACAGGGACATGGAGGAGCTCCGAGCACAGAGTGGGCTGAGCTGGCCCTGGTGCCCTGTGTGCACAAGGCGGGGTAGGGCTCAAAGTCCTTCGTGAGGCTCTGCTTCCCTGCACAGGGCAAGCCCAGGGGTTCAGCGCTCCTCAGCCAGCTCGCTGTCCGCTCCTTCTCGGGAGGCAGGGGTGTCCAGACAGCACCTGGCTCAGGCCCGGCCAGGGCTCGTGGCCCTGCCTTCCAACCTCCCGCTCCTGGGTCAGGGGAAGCAGGGGGAGCCCACCCGGCTGCCCCACCTGTGAGGTGGCCTTTGGGCCAAGCCCTGGTCCTCAGGCCTCAGTCGCCCCTTTCCCCCAGCTGCTTTTCCACTCTGGCAGGGAGGGCCCAGCCCAGGCTCCCCTCTTTCTGTCCGTCAGCCCCTGCCAGACCAGGACTCTACCCCACCCCCACCCCAGCTCTCTGGGCCAAGGGGCTGGTGTGGAGAAGGCCCCTGGTTCTCAGCTGTGCTGCCAGCCACCTCTACAGTCAGGACAGACAGAAGCCAAGGGCACTGCCAGCTGCTCTCTCGGCGCCAAGATCCCCTGAGCTCCCACCTGTCTGTCTGCCTCCTGTCCACCTACCTGTCCGCCTGACCTCTGACACCTGTTCTACAAGAAGCCCCTCACGTCCCTCCTGGGAGAAGTCTGAGCTGCCGGGGGGAGACGGGCCCCAGCTTCAAGCTGAGCCCTGTCGGGGTCAGGGAGGTGGCCAGGCCAAGGTGGGGCTGGAGGGCAGGGCAGCGCGCCGGGGGACAGACAGCGGAACTCAGCGCGGTGGGACGACAAAAGGGGTCCCGAGGCTACAAGCGAGGGGCTATCTGCTGCCCGCACCCCCACACACACACTCCCAGAGGCCAGCATCCAAAACGTCAGGACCTCAGGGACGAGCTCGCACGTGCAGGCGTGCGAACAGTGGAGGCCACCTCCCCTCGGGCAGGAGCAGAGGGGTACAGCTTGGGGCCGTTGTGAGGCCACAGATTCTGGGGCCTTGGAACCAGGCCACCCCCTCAGAAGCACTGTGCCGGGGCTGTGGAAACAAGTGCTGATTTTTTTTTTTTTTTTTAAATTGTGCTTTAAGTGAAAGTTTACAGTTCAAATCAGTTTCTCATATAAAAATTTATACACACATTGTTATGTGACCCTAGTTGCTCTCCCTATAATGTGACAGCACACTCCTCCTTTCCACCCCAGATTTCCTGTGTCCATTCAACCAGCTCCTGTCCCCCTCTGCCTTCTCATCTCTCCTCGGGACAGGAGCTGCCCATTTAGTCTCATGGATCTACTTGAGCTAAGAAGCACGCTCTTCACAAGTATCATATTATGTCCCATAGGCCAGCCTAATCTTTGTGTGAAGAGCTGGCTTCAAGAATGGTTTCGGTTCTGGGCTAACAGTCTGGGGCCCATGTTTTCTGGGGTCCCTCCAGTCTCAGACCATTAAGTCTGGTCTTTTTTTTACTAGAATTTGAGTTCTGCACCCAGCTTTTCTCCTGCCCTGTCAGAGACTGTCTGTTGTGTTCCCTGTCAGGGCAGTCATTGGTGGTAGCCGGGCACCATCTAGTTCTTCTGGTCTCAGGCTCATGGAGTCTCCGGTTTACGTGGCCCTGTCTCCTGGGCTCATATTTTCCTTGTGTCTTTGGAGTTCTTCATTCTCCTTTGCTCCAGGTGGGTTGGGACCAATTGGTGCACCTTAGATGATCAACAATCACTGAATTTAATGTGAGGCTGGAACACCAGCGAATGAGGCCCCAGGAGGCCATGGACATGGTGCCGGTCAGCCAAACAGGTAGGGCCGGCCTCATCCAGGGCAGCGGGGCCTGCAAAGCCGGAGGTGCCCCAGAAGGTACCAGGCCTCAGCAGGGGACTGGAGCAGCAGCCAAGGGCATAGGAACAAAATGCAGCCAGACCAGTTCTGGGGCACTGGACCACGGGATGGGGCAGCCGGCACCCCTCAGGCCTGCGCCCGTCACAGGCTGTCCTCCGCCAGCTTGCATACCCGCTTCACCCTGGCGTAGGGCCCCAGAGAGTCCTCAAACACGAAGTCCCAGAGAACCTTCACCCATGAGTGGTGCTGCGGCAGGTGGTCGTAGTACTCGGGGGCTATCTTCCGCACCTGCAAGAGGGGCGGGTGGTGGTCAGCAGGCTTCCCTCAGCCCGGCCACCCCTCAGCCTCCCACCCACCGTGCCTCAGGCTCCTGGAGGGGCCTCGCTCATGCCCCCCCCCCCACCAGAGGGGGCGAGGGCGGCTGAGCCCAGGACCCTAGGGGAGAGACAGTAACATCTCTGCTCCCTAGCCTGCCCCATCCCCAGCCCACTCTGGGGTTTCTGGTCTAGGAGGCCCACGGTGGTCCCACAGCCAGGGCACAGCTGGCTGGAGTCCTGCCGAGTCAGCGTACACCCACACTCCTCAGCCGGCCTTGTTCTGTCCCTGCCCCCTGCCAGCCTCTCTGGCTTTGACGCCCACCACGCCCTCACCTGGTCACCCCCTTCTCTGCAGCCTCAGCACCGTTGTCTCTCTCTTCTCCCCCCACGCCACCCTCTGCAGGTCCCCCCACACCAGACCACCACTCACCTCAGGAAGCGCTTGGGCCCACCACCCAGCGCCTCAGCCTCCCCACACCCCGGTTCCCACATCCCCTTTACAGGTGACACCGAGGCTCAGAAACGGGGCAGGTGTGAGCAGAAAGCCCCGTGCTCCCTTCAGGGAAGGAAAGGCTCACAGTGGGCAGCGGGTGTTTCTGCAACTGACCCAGCTTAGCTTCTGGTCTGCCTGAGGGGCCGCACCATCTCTGAGCCTCTGCTTTCTCATCTGCAAAGTGGGAGAAAAATAGCCCCTGCCTCACAGACTCGTGGGGAGGGCTCAGGGACGGGGCACCAGGCGGGATCTCAGGACTGTCAGCGGGAAAGGGACTCAAGTGACACAGGCCGGGGAATACATGCATGCGTACACAGGCAGGTGAACACGTGTACACACATACACGTGCACACACGAACCCACATATGCACACAAACATGAACGCATGGGGCACACTCAGACATGCTAACACATATACACCCAAACGTGCAGTGGACAAGCGCATGCACACAGACACCTGCACACATGAACCCACACACGTGTACACACACACACGTGTACACTCAGACATGCTAACACATATACACCCAAACGTTCAGTGGACAAGCACATGCACAGACACATGCACACATGAACCCACACATGTGCACACACACACGTGTACACACACAAACGTGCACTCGGGCATGCTAACACATACATACCCAAATGTGCAGTGAATAAGCGCATGCCCACAGACACGTGCACACATGCACCCACACACGTGTACACACACGTGCACACTAGGGCATGCTAACACATACACACCCAAACGTGCACACGCGAGCGTCAACACATGCCCAGACCTGTACGTGCGAGCAGGTGAACACATACACATACAGACACCTGCAGACACACAGTCACATACACTAATACATGGGGCACGCTCACAGGCACACGTTAGCATGTGCACACACAGGCAGGTGCACACGGCCTTGTATACTCAGGCTCCTGGACGCCCTCCCCGCCCCCTCTGCAGCGGCCACCTCAGCTTCCTGACCCACCATGGAAGTGCCAGGTCTGAAGTGCAGAGAGGCAGGCGCGTGCCCAGGGCACACGGCCAGTGAGCATCCAGCAGGGTTCAATGGTTTTCAGGAAACCAAGCAGCCTGAACTGTAGAATGCCTCTGGGGACCCCGCCCTCCCTGAATCAGCCGGGCAGTCACCTACCTCTACCATGTGGGAATGAGTGACCACGTGGCCACCCCACAACCAGCACAAAAAGGCCCCCCATGCCTGCCCACCCACCGGCCTGCCGTACCAGGGGTAGGTTGCAGCCGGGGATGCTGGGGAAGTCATGGTGCTCCACGTGGTAGCCCACGTTGAAGGTGATCCAATTGAGGGGCCCGTAGTAAGAATAGGTCTCGTGGCCCTTGAGGAACATGTAGTGCTCGGCCACGAAGTGGCCCGAGATGGGATGCAGGCCCAGGCCCAGCAAGGAGCTGGCCAGCAGGTAGGCCACGGGCTTGAGCCCCCAGAGGGCAAAGATGGCGGCGTCGACGGCCAGCTGCACCAGGGCGTTGAACACCTCCATGCGGGTCACAGCCTTGGGGTGCACACAGAGCGGCCTCAGCGAGTAGAAGAAGGGCTGCAGCGCCAGCCAGAGCAGCTTGCGGGCCGGCGTGCAGAAGAGCCAGCCCTCTAAGCGCGTGGGCACATCCACGTCCAGCCCGTCGCCGCCCAGGTAGCGGTGGTGGTCCACGTGGTACTTCTTGAAGGAGGCAGCGTAGGGCACGCCCACGGGCAGGTTGGCAAAAACAGCGAACCAGCGGTTGTAGGCGGCGCGGCCCGTGCCGAAGGCGGTGTTGTGCGAGATGTCGTGGATGGCCAGCGTCAGCGAGTGGTTCACGCAGCCGCCGAAGGTGTAGGCCCAGAAGAGCAGCCAGCGCCAGGTCAGCCCGCGCGCCAGGTAGCAGGCCACCAGCTGTGCCAGCACCATCGCCATCACCGTCCACTTGAGGTTCGGGTCTGGCCGCATCAGGTTCTTTATGGCCGGGTACTTGGCTGCGCGCAAGACCAGGAGAGGAGGGGTTGAGTGGGTGCCGGCCACCAGCTGCATGCCCCCCACCGCCCTTCCATTTGTCCCTCATCTGTTCCGTCCTTCCTTCTATCCCCCTTCCATCCTCCGTTCTTTTTCCATCCTTCCTCTTTCCTTCCTCCCATCTACTCCTCCTCCTTCCTCCCATTAGTCCTCTAACCCCAGGCAGTGAAATCAACCCTGCCAGCACCCTCTACCACGACCCTTGAGGTCCTAGAATGGACAGATGGACACCCATCTAGAACGACAGGCGGACACCCATCTAGAACTGGGCGCCGTGCTTTGAGCGGAGGAGCAGCCTCGGCCCCATGGGGGTGCAGAGGCAGGTGGACTTGCCTCCCTACCACCTGGAGGGTCTACTGAGACCCTTGAGCAGAGCATCACCCGTTAATCAGAGCATGCCGCTGCGCGCGCACGGGCTCGGCCGGCCGTCGGGGCTGCGCGCTCACGGGCTCGGCCGGCCATCGGGACTGGGCAGTGACAGGCCAAGTGGAGCCAAGTGTGGAAACTCAGACTGGACACTGAGAGGGAGGGGTGCCTGGGGCGGGGGGGGGCAATGTGGAGGGCCCCAGCTTTGTTGAAAGTGTCTTTGTTCTTAAAACAAACGAGGGCTGCAGGAACTATGATAAAATGTTGAAGGCGTTCATTTTGGGTGCTTTGTTATAGTATCTTTTGTACTTTTCTGGTTTTTTTAAACAGAAAAGGAAAAAACAAGGTGTGTGGGGTTGGCCGAGCAGGGGGCGGCTTTCCAGACCGAGGGACAGCCAGAGCCTGCAGGGAAAAGGCAGGAAGAGTAGGGCAGGGGTGCTGAGCCCTGAGTGGGGTGGGCTGTGGACACAGAGGCCTTGGGGACCAGGAGCACGGGACACAGGGGCAGGACAAGGCAGCTGTGCCTTCTAGAACCCTCTGTGGCTGCTCAGTGGGAGGTGGCTGGGGTCTCAAGGTGGGAGGTGGGTGAGTAGGCAGGTGCTCCATCCAGGGACAGAAGGGACAGGGCAGGCGTCCCAGGCTCCCAGGATAAGAGCAGACAAGCTCTCAGAAACGGAGCCAGCATCGTCATGTACAGATGGGAAAACTGAGGCCAGCGAGGATGGGGCTTGTCCAAAGGCATCCTCAGTCAGTCAGCACCGGTGGCCAGGGTCTGCAGCTTCTCCTCCCCTCTCCTGTCCAGCAGCCTGAAGTCAGCCAGGTGACCTCGGGCTCACCCTCCCCAGCGCCGCCCAGTGAACAGGGTCTCCCTGACCTCAGGAACAGAGTCTCCCAGGACAGCAGCAGAGGCTGGGTGCTCCAGCAGGGTCAGCCAGGCAGAGGTCAAGTTCCAGCCAGCCCTTTGCAGACAACAACTCAGGTTCCTCGCGCACGGGACGGAGGGGGCAGGAAGGATGTGACAGGCAGGCTCAGCCGGCTGGAGTCCCCATCAACCAGCTCCCTCACCTCCTCACAGCCCAGGAGGGCGACCAGGGTCGTGTTTACAGATAAGGAGACCGAGGTGCAGGGTAGGGCTGCACAGGGTGATGCTGGGACCCGGCCTGACCTGCGGGCGCATCCCTGCCTCTGCCCGAGAGCTGCCCCCGCCATGGGGAGGCTCCTGCAAGGTGCTAGTTACACCTCCCCAGAGACGCGGACGAAGTGGCTTGTCGGGCTCCTGGGGCACACCATCAGTCAGCCCAATACAGCAGGTGCTACAACAGTCCCCGCCTGACCTGGTGGGCCTGCCAAAGGCCTTACTGGAAAGCAAGGGGTGACTCAGCCCCAGAAAGGACTTTCAGTCACAGCCACCCAGGAATGGACCAGGCTTCTCAGAGGTGGTGAGCCTCCCGTCTCTGGGGGCATGCAAAGAGGAGCACAGAGTGGGTGAGGGACTTCTGCCCCAGGCAGAGGGGAGACTCAGACTTTAGACTCTCCTGCCCAACTGCCCAACACAGACATGGCCTCAGGGTTGGCAGGACCTGCCCGGAAGCCTGGTGGGCCCTGACCTCACTGTGTGCACCCCCGCCCCTCTCTGAGCCTCAGTTTTCCCAGTGTAAGGTGGCGAGAGTGTGATGTGCCTCACAGGGTGTCTGTCCCCACTGAACAGTCCTGGCCCCCAGCAGTGATACAGCCCATAGCTGCTGGGAGATGCTGGAGAGAAGTCGGCCCTCACGTCCTGTAACTGCATGCCTCTCTGGCTGGGAAGCCAATGAGACCCCCCCAGGTAACCCTGCGGCCACAGAGCAGCGTCCCCCCAGCGCTCCTGCCCAGCCTTCACCTCACCTTGCAACGACAGTAGTTTTGGCTCCAAACTAAGTGGTCAGCTGCTGCACACAGCCCTGAGGACAGGCCGGGGACAGGTCTGAACTGAACCCCACAGCAGCCGGCAGGGACGGCAGAGCTGGAATGCCTGGCACCCCCTTCTCCCTAAACGCAAGGGTGCCTCAGGCCACTGCCAGCTGGCCCCCATGCACTGCAAAGCCTCCAGCCCCTTTGACCCCAAAGTTCTGTCCCAGGAAGCCAGCCAAGGAAATTGTCCATCTAGATCCAGAGGGTGGTGGTCACGGAGCACGTGGAGAAGCGAAACTGCGGAGAGCAACGGGCCCACCCAACAGGACCACAGGGGACCCAAGAGTCTGGGGGAGGGGGCGTTCAGCGCAGGCTCAAGTGTAGGCTCCCATTAACCCCTTGCCATCGAGTCGATTCCAACTCATAGCGTCCCTATAGGATGGAGTAGAACTGTTCCACAGGGTTTCCGAGGAGTGGCTGGTGGATTCGAACTGTCTACCTTTTGATTAGCAGCTGAGTTCTTAACCATTGTGCCACCAGGTGCAGGCTAGCCGGATCCAAATCCCAGCTCCCAGCTCCATTTCTGCACGATGAATGGGGCAGTGGGAGAGTTAGTGAGATGAGGCCCAAGAAGGCCTGGACCACACAGGCTCAGAGCAAGCGCCCCAATTAATCACCCACCATTACAGGTGCATGACAGACCAGCCCGCAGGTTAAAGGCAGGCTGTAGGAGTGCTGCCTGCAGATGTTTACAGCTGTGTAAAGTGTGTTACAATGGCTAGAAGGCATTGGAACAATCATGATGGAGTATGAGGGTGGAGGCTTAGGGTAATTTCTTTCCTCTGGGCCCTGCCCACGTTGTCTAAGTGACAGCCCCCGTGGTGGGAGGGAACTGTGGGGCTCCAGGCTGCTCTCAGGAGTCCCAGGCAGTCCCGTGAGAGAGAGCCGTTCTCATGATGAAGAAGGATCTGGGGGCCACAGCGGGCAGGGCTCCCACAGATGTCTCCACCACCGTCTGTCAGTCTGTCCTACCATGCTGGCTTACGCGTTGCTGTGATGCGGGAAGTTAGGCCACCAGTTTTGCAAATACCGGAAGGATCACCCATGGTGGATAGGTTTCAGCAGAGCTTCCAGACTAAGACAGACTAGGAAGAAAGCCCTGGTAATCTACTGAAAATCGGCCAGTGAAAACCCTATAGATCATATGGGATCAAATTGACAAAAGCAACTCAAAAGGTTAGATAGGACGCTTCCGGGGCAGTGAGTTTATGTTAATAGGGGAGGAACAACTCAGAAAACGAGGGGGAGAATGGTTGCACAACTTGAAAACTGTAGTCAATGTCACTGAATTGTACATGTAGAAACTGGTGAGTTGGTGTGTGCTCTGCTGTGTATATTCTCAATAACAACAAAAAATTAAATTTAAAAAAATGTTAGTGTCAGAGTCAAGCTCTGACAAACTGTGGGTGGCCCTGTCTAAGTGATTTAACATATCTGTGCCTCAGTTTCCCCTTCTGAAAAATAAAGAATTTGAACTGGATTATCTCTAAGTCCCTTTATGGGGTTTCTTTTTAAGGTGATGAAAATGTTCTCAAATTGACTGTGGAGATGGCCTCACGTGTCTGTGAATAAACTAAAAACCATTGAATTGTACACTTCAAATGGGTGAATTGTATAATATGTAAATGACATCTCAATAAAGCTGTTAAGAGAGGAAAAAAAAAAACCCTATGGATCACAAAACACCTCCTGATACAGTGCTGGAAGATGAGCCCCCTTGACCGGGAGGCGCTACACAAATAGCCACAACAATGAAATGGAGAATACCGACCAGCACAGAGATGGGGCAGGGCCTGGAAATGTCTCATGCTGTTGTATATAAATCTGAGCTGACTTGAGAACAGCCAGCAACAACAAAGATGCCCACATGCTAACCCCTGCCTGGACTACTTTACATTATATGGCAGGGTGTGGGGGGGAGTTAAGGTTGCAAATGGAATTAAGATTGCTTATCAGCTGACTTTAAGACAGGGAGGTGGCCCTGAATTGTGTGTGTGCTCACTCAGTATAATCGCAGGGTTCCTAACAGTGGAAAAGAAGACAAGACAGAAGGTCTGAGTGAGGCCATGTGAGGAGAACTCAAAACAGAGTTGCTGGCTTTGACGATGGAGGAGGAGCCACAAGTCCAGGAATGCGGGTGGCCTCTGGAAGCTGGAAAAGGCAAGGAACGGATTCTCCCTAGAGCCTCCAGAGGGAACACATCTCTGCTGACACCTTAATTTTAGCCTGGTAAGACCCACGTCAGACTTAACTTCTAGAACTGTAGTAATAAGTTTGTGTTGTTTCTTGTTACAGCAGCGAGAGGAGACTCCTACAGTCTGGGACTAGCAGAGAGGAAGCAGCAGGGACCCTGCCAGCCCCAGAGCTGCTGGGAGCCAAGTCAGGGAGCCACCAGCCCCGTCCTCCTCCCCTCACCCTTCCCTTCACCAGGCACAGAGGGGTGTCGGGCTCGGCCCCCCTTTGCCAGCATGGCACATGCCCAGCATGGCCCCACCTGCAAGAGAGACAGCCTGGGAGGCTGACATGTGGGCCAAACACGTGCCTCCACTGGGGAGGGGTAGATGGGGTGGGGGGGCGGGGGATGGGGAGGGGAAGGGTGAGCCGGCCCACTTCAGAGAAGTGCCTCATTCGGCCCGAGAGACGGTGC